ATTTTCATCATTCTCAACTACCTTATATGTATTTATGTGTTCATGCTGACCACCAAATGAACTTTGTTATAAGCTTATTAGCTGTTTCTATGGCTCAATATGAGTAAGCCAGTTTGAAGTGATGTTTGTTTTTGCAAGTCTCTTTTATGTCCAAATCAATGAAAAGATTAAAGAGAGAAAATGCATCTACTGTAGTCTAAGGCAAGAACTATATTGGATCTGAATATATAAATGTAAAATACAATGAAAGGAGCAAGACAATTGAGACAGATTTCTCAAAACAACCAAGTGATGTCCAAACAAGCTGACGTTCCAAAGCAGTCCAGGGGGATGTTGCATTGATGCAGGTGCCGTCCTTTGGATGAAATGTCAAACCAAGGTTCCGTCCTCCTGTACAGGAGGACATTAAACATCCCATGGCACTATTTGAAAAGAGGAGGGAGTTTCTCCCGGTATCCTGGCCAACAATCCTCCAAATAGAATTAATCATTCATTTCATGGCGGTCTGTGAGACATTGCTGTGGCAAAATTGGCTGCCGTGTTTGCCTGCAAATACAATCACTCCAATTCACAGAAATTCCTGTAAAATTCTTTGAGATTTCCTTTCGACGTGATAAGGCTCCATACCGAATGTAAAGTTTATTCTTGTTATTATTTATTATTATAAGTAAATACTATTTTAATTTGTACAAGAGGAAGCGAGTTCTAGCATTTGGCCTTTAGTCACTTAATGAAAATAATAATCCTTGCAGTTTACATAATACCTCATCAGATCATTGAAATATCTCAAAGCGCATTACGGTATTCTTACTGTGACGTGTTGTCTGTGTATTTGTAGGTGAATACAACAGCCATTTACACACAGTATTGTTCCACAAACAACCATGAAGTGCATGACCAGTTTTATTTGAGGTATTGTTGGCCAAGACACCAGGGAAAAACTCCCTTCACTTTTCGAATAGTGCTACAGGATCCTTAACGTCCAGCTGAAGAAGAAGACAAGACTATCTTGGCACTTCTGCCAATGTAGTGCAATGCTTGTAATAAACTACAATATTACAATGCAAATTATAGTACATGGAATGTATAAATAACTCTACAGTCTATCCAGTGCAAAGTAAAAAGATTGCTCTCTTCAGTAGTTCTGTGTGAGAAGAAAAGGTAGAGTACTCCTGACACAGAAAGTGCTGTCATACTTAATTTTGTGAACACATTCTGTGTTGCTTTGTGCTTTACTGGGTCAAGAATTGCTCTAACTCTCCCTGTGAATATAAATGGTGTATTTGTAGTGCTCACAGGTCAGAGAGATTTCTGAATCGTTTTAAATTGCTGCAAACACTGGAAAAATACAGTACCTCTCAAATATATTTTGTCTTCTATATGATCTTTTCTTATACAAACATAATCTTTAAAGGAGGAAAAAATATTTTAAAGATTATCTTTAATTCTTTAATTAAGATTCTTTAATCTTTAATTTCTTTCTTTAAGAAAGAACTTGTTGCTATTACATACAATAGGGAACTTTCTTTATTTGCTCACATTTGTAAATACTGACAAAAGAATTTTCATTAGTCTGGTATTATGTTAATTTGCAGTGTTGGAAGCACTGAATTGTTTACTTCTAGTGAAACAAACACAATTTAATTTACTGTCTAATGGGAAAATAATATTATTAAATTTATGTATGTTCTACAAATGCTCAGGGTAATTTATTTGACCTTACCACTCAGCAGGTTTACTCTTCCTGCCATTTAGCATTTAGCGTGAGGAAATCGTCCTTTTCATTTAATAGGATAGCTTTATTAGACTCAATGCATCCTCTGAAAAAAAACGTAATAAGGATCTCAATCACATTTTTTGAAATGGTTTAGTTTCTTGGTAATGGTTTCTCTTCAAATCTGCTCTGCACAGTCTTAAAAGCAAGTCATTTCATTTTCTATGTATTAGAAATCCATTTGTCATCCCAGCATGTAATTTTGCTGGTAATCAGATGTTCGTTATGCCAACAACCTTACTTTAATTATATTATACACAGCTTAATTTGTTAACTGAATACAAATGAGTATGATTTGTGTGGGGAACAGTTATCATTACAAAGTTATTTCTTTATCTGTAAGATAAGGATTTTAATAGATGTGTTGATTTATTAGTAATTTTACTGTAAATATTATATATTATCAATACCTTTCTTTCCACTTGGAGTTTAACTTGGAGTATGTGTAGTGTATTTAAATGTTTAATTTTCTGTGACTTTTCCCTGAGACAGCTTCCTGCTTTCTCTGTGAAGCATATAAGTATTGTAAAGTGGCAGTAAATTGATGGTACAACATAATTAAATACAAATATTATTCTAGTTTTATTACCGTGCTTAACTGTATTTAGTCAAAATTATGATTTATTTTGTTTCATTGATTGTCTCACCGGATAGTCTAGAATGCATATGGGGTTGGAGAGAGTGAGTGTGCGTGTGTTTAAAGAAAGAGAGAGAGTGATGGAGAGAATAAAGATCATTCACAGCAGCCAGGAGCAATAATGGATCATCCCAGTCTAGAATTTCCTGTACTGTATTTGTTTACATAAAGGAATCCTTTTTAGGTGATGATAATAATGACAACAGAAGTACTGGCGAGCATCAGTGGGTTAATATCTTAGTTCAAAGGTAGTTCTTACTGTATAATCCATAATAAAGAATCTCTCATATCAATACTGGCATTGTTGGCATGTCAAGACATACTACAACTCATGTAAAATTATTAAAATGTTCAGATAGCTGTCATGAACCTTTATCTAATTATGATATTGGACAGGTAATTAGTGTTGCTGAAGGCAGCACTCTGTGTTTTCTTGGCAATTACGCAGATGTTTCTCAGGTTCTAATATCAGATCTGTATTATAGTGTAGAATTGGTAAAAAGTAGGAGTCTACTCCATGTCATAGAACTATAACATCTACTAAAGTATACTTTGCTGTGTTAGACTAACTACTTCAATTGTTTTCAGTTGATTGAGCAACAGGATGAAGATGGAATATTTATAAATCTGTAAACAATTGTTGGTCCCATTCTGTGTTGGGACCTGGTTTGTACCTGCAAATCCCCCCAGGGTGGTCAAAGCCCTACATGGCCTTGCTGCTCCCTACTTCTGTGACCTCCTAACCCCTAACAACCTGTCTGCTCCCTCAGTTCAGCGGGCTCCGGCCCGCTTCACGTCCCCCGCCTTGCCTGCCCCACCATTGGTCCACCCCTCCTGATCCAAACCACCAGCTTAGGTTTGGATCCCTGATTGTCCAGCACCTTGGGATGTCCTCCTGATGTGAAATGCACTATACAAATGTAATTTGTTGTTGTACTTATCTCTTAATGTTGTGTTTCTGGTAGGAAGGCATCGAATCACCTGACATGCAACCCCACAGGGATGGGCAGAAATAGAAAGGGTGTGTTGCCTCTGAAACGTGTTCTAGCACTGGTTACAGCAAGGCATTAGCACACGACTTAGAGATAAACAGTTTTCTATTTTCTTGACCCTGTGTATAGGGAGACCTAAAATAGCGAATAACAAAACTAATTTGTAATCTTTTTACTAAATTGAGATCTTTAAACTCTTAACAGGTGAGATAACTAATCCTAATAATTTCTTATTTTCTGACAAATTCCCCTCACATCCACTTATTATCTTCTTAACACTATACAGTTGATTTAACAGAGCAGATCGACACTTCTGTTAATCTCCACACAGATTTATATTTGAGCAGATTGTGGCTGTTTTTGAAGTGCTCTGGGACACTATCCGACATGAAGGGCCCAATATGAACCCTCCTCTTCAACCATGCCATTGGTCACCCGCTTCCCCTCCCCTCCCTTCTCCCCCCTGACCCCAGCTCGGGTCTGAAATGCTGTACTCTGTCCAGCACCTTGGGATGTCCTCCCGATGTGAAAGGCGCTATACAAATGTAATGTTGTTGTTGTTTTGAGTTTGGGGTATCTTCCCTGGGGCAAAGTACTAAATTCTGAGTCCACGAAATGAATAAATGTTGGAAAATGCAACATGGCTGAAGTTAATTGGATTGGTTGAATTTGTGCTCTCAAACCATTAAAACAAAATACTTAAGAAATGCATTAAATGTATTTTAGAAAAAGGTAACTGATCTGAACAGTGCAAAAATAAGGCAATTCCCACCCAGGTAGACATTTTGCAAAGAGGAAGAAAATCACTTCCCTTGTACCATATTTAAAAGTATTATAACTTTAGCCATTTGATATGCAGACCATGTCTGAATAACTCAAATTAATTTATTTTTTACTAACAGTAATTTGTTTTAACTTTACTCAACTTTACAAGCATTGACCTCATCTCAGTTTAATAAACCAGCATCAGCATTTTCACATCCAGTCCCCAAGCAGCCAGGCTGAGTTAGTCTGTATAGCATGCTTTGGAGTGTGCTTTGTTTTCTAACATGGTTTATGCTGTGGGGAAAAAATATCCTTCTGCTTGAAAATGCTAATATAAGACGAAAGCTGTGTCTGGGGAAAAGCGTAAGGGGTCTGTGTCTGGGAGAAAGGGAGGGGTCGGGGAGAATCAATGGCCATAAGTAATGGATGTGAGCAAAACATTACCAAACCTCAAACAGAACTTGTGATGAGAAGATTTTCTTCTTCTGCAGTTCGGAATAGATTTTTCACTGAATCAATTAATGCTGCACCAATTAATACCTTTATATATAAAAAAGAGCTGAATGAATGTTTGGTTAAGAGGATCAACACAATGGTGATGATTGAATGCTGTGTAGATGTTGCTCGAACACAGAGCTAACGAACTGGACCACTGACAATACCATTTCCTCTTCCAAATATTCCATGGGATCTATAACGTGCAGCTGTATCACAGGTTTTGCAGTGATTATGAACTTGTGTCCTTCTCACCCAGAGATCAGAGTGCCACCATCTGAGCCAAACTAATGCTGGATTTGCCCCATCATTAATGTTGCTGTAATAACTCATCAAGATGTTAATTTCTGTGTTTTTAGGCCAGTGGGGTCGTTGCATTGGTGAAGACTGTGGCCCAAGTGGAGTGCAGAGTAGAACAGCGTGGTGTGTTCACATTGAAGGATGGACAACGCATCATTCACACTGTAAATATGAAGAAAGACCAGAAATTCAGAGGGAGTGCTTCAAAGTGTGCGATTGGCATCAGGAACTTTTTGAATGGGAGCTTTCCAAGTGGGGAGACTGTGTGCTTCGCACCATTTCAAACAAACTTAAACCAAAGACCTCAGCCTGCATCACAGCACAGCAGGGACTGCAGCACAGGAAGGTAAACTGCCTACGGAAATCCAACAGATCACTGGTGGTAGATGAGATTTGCGAATTCTTTTCACCTAAGCCTCCCTCAGACCAGGCCTGCCTCATTCCCTGCCCACAGGACTGTGTGGTATCAGAGTTCTCACCCTGGTCAACCTGTAGTAAGGGATGTGGGAAAGGACTACAGCACCGCATTCGAGCAGTACTGTCACCACCATTGTATGGTGGACAGAAATGCCCAATGCTGACAGAAACCAGGAGCTGTGATTCACAGGTCTCCTGCTTGGTTGGGGAGGATGAGTTCCAGTACAGTTTGAAGGTGGGACCCTGGAGTGACTGTAGACTGCCACACCAAAGACAGACCAGACAGAGTGGAAGAACCATCCTGGACTTCAGCTTGCAAGCCCTGGGAAAGCATCCTGTTAAGCATCTCATTCACTCTCATTCTAAGCCATGGGATGTACAGATAGGATATCAAACCAGACATGTGCGATGTACAAGAAGCGATGGGAAGAATGCCATGTTGAGGTAAGGCGATCGTTTGAGTTTCCAAACCTGCTGATTATTCATGACCTTGTTAATAATAATAACAATAATCCTTGCATTTGATATAGCGCTTTTCACGTCTTCCAGATGTCGCAAAGCGCTTCACAGAATATAGACTGTAAAGTGAATTGACTATATTTGTGGGTGAAATGGAAGTTTTGGGGAATTAAAACTGTGTTGTTGAAAGGAACCCACAATGTATGTCATGGCATTCAAAATTAAATATTTAGTTTATTGTAATCTGAGGATCGAAACAAAATAGTTTTAACTTGGGTGTAGTTTCGTGATTTCAATAATAAAATGAAAGGGAGGGCTGTTGCTATTTTGGGGAATCAAAAGGATCTGGAAAAGCCCAGTCAAAATCAAAATGAATGATTGCATTTGGCCAGTCCCATTTCCCTACATCATCATTGAGAATGTTGCTTGGGGTGGATGGTCAGCTTTAGCATTCAATGTGATGAATATCAAATACACTGCTAATTTAACCCTAATGCCATGTGTACTATCACTCCCAAGCCTACTGTTAATTCTATTGGCAAACTCACCTGTTCAGCACAGCATCTTCACTTTCCTGTACAAATGTTAGCTGAAACTGTGTCAGAGATCAAGTTTGAGTTCTCCACACATGCCGCACAGCTATCATATTGGACATTAACGTGCTGTCAGGTCTAAAAATTCAATTTGTAAAATTCACTTTCTTGTGCCTTAACTCTCATTTTTCTAACATGCACAAATGGCAGGTGTTATTGCTCCAAGTATTGGAAGATCAGAAATATAACTTCTGCAGGCAGAAGAGATATTAGGAACCTATGAAATAATACCCACATTTACCATTTACCATTTCAATTCAATTGAATGGACAGATGGTGGCCTGCATAAAAGAACTGAAGAACAACAAGTGCATAAGATTGATTCTGAGGATGTCAAATGTAACCCACACTGTATAACTGCTTACAGGAATCTCACTTTAATCTCAAACTCTTTCTAATGAAATTTAATTTGCAGCAAACATATGATACTTATCATTTTTTGTGAACTGGAAGCCAAATGAATATTTAAGTATCATTTATCATATATGCTTCCTGCGCATTTGTTAATTTTCCTGCAAACATTCTCCAATCTCTTGTCGAATGTTGATCCTGTGAGTTTCTCACTTTCCTGTCCTGACTGTCAAGTAATTTAATCTGTAAAGTGCTGACTATTATGAACCATGTTGATGTAAATGGGCAGCTCGACAACTGAGAAAGTGCCTCTTCTGCAGGAATGTTCATTGCACCAGTTGCGAGACATTGGCTCCAAGGTGATTTCAGGTTGAAGTGTTGTAGGACCATGCAGTAAATGCACTCAATGTCCTGAGGTGCTTTATCAGGCTTCAGCTTACATTGCCTGTTTTCCTGATGAGCGCTGTGTTAGGCCTTTTTGCTTCCAATATGATGGAGCAACAACAACAATAGGTCATTTTGAGCCAAATGCTGGAAGGAATGAAGGCTCCCTCCAGCGCTGAAACAAATTATATTTTTGTCCAGATATGGTCTGATTCTTTATTTGATGTTAGCAACACCTTTATTGCTGAAACGAAAAGTAACCTTACGCTATACAGTGCTAAGATACTTCTTTGTTCAATACACCAATGGATAAATATGAACTTGAGTCAATGGGCCCTTTTAATGCACTTTCAGTCTGTTCATGCACTTTGGACCTGGAGTACAGTGCAGAAGGGAATGAATAGCCACACAATCTGCTGGTAGTTAAATGGACAATACAGTTTGAAAGCTTTCAAAACAAGAAATACATCATTCCTTACGCCACTAAGCTGATATCCATGAGTCACCAAAGGAATGATAGACTGCAGTATTGTAGATGGTTAATTCATCACCTTCTGTTCTCTCCTCAACGTGGCACACTAATATCCTACACTGCTGCTAATGGGCTACTAACTTATTTATATACCACTAGATAAACTTATCTCTGACATGATACTTAGAACCATCTGAAACCTACATTATTGATGCCGCAATGCTACAACAATGAAACCATGGAGGTACAGAAAAGGTTGTTTAGTTATTTTCAAAGATTTCAGCATTAATATCATAAATATTTCAAGCATTAAGTCAGAGACCGAAATCTAAGCAGTTGAGTACTGTTTAAGCACAGAATAGAGTGAGGCCTTTTACACAACTTCAGATTGTGGGCTTGACCTCAGTCACTAGAGTTGTATTTAAATCTGGTTGTGAGTAACTTGTACTTTGCAAATTGATGATTAGATGCCTATCTTATCGGTTATTGCCTTCTTTAGTCTTTGTGTCCAGGACAACACTCCCGTGACCTTTCAATCATGCGTTATGTCCAGAGACTGTGCATTCTCTGAATGGTCTGGATGGAGTTCATGCTCAAAGACCTGTCAATCACCTGACTTGTCTCCGGGATACAGAAGCAGGACTCGATTTATGAAGCACGTACCTTTAGGGGGAGGCAAAGAGTGTCCGAATCTCGAGGAAAAAGAAACTTGTAATATTGGAGGCGAAGGATTAACACCATGTCCCAGGTATGTTTTGTTTGTGACTATAATAAACAATATTAAATAGGTTCAAGTAGTAATGTACTTGGTACTTGGAACCTGCTAATACAGTACTAGTCTCTGCTTGCTTATCTGTATTGAAGTACCTCTTGGATTACTCAATTGTTTATTTTATTTGTATCTAAAATAGTTTGAGGTGTGATTGCTTAAGGATTCTGATTTTATTTTTATAGTAGTTTAGTTGTTGAGGCTTCGCAATGCTATATGCATGATAAACATGATCTTGTTTTTATGAACTAACTGAAATTCCATGTACCTTCAAGTAAACAATCATACTATAGGATTAATTCCATTTTTTGGTAATGGTCAGCTCAAAAATCTAATATGTACAATATTAATCTAAATACTATGGTAGAGACTGGAAATATTGTCCTGTGATCTATCTATGTAACGATTGTATGGCAGCACATTATAGGGCAGCAGCTCAGTTCAGTAGTTCAAAACTGTAGCCTTGCATTTTCTGAGTATCAGCTGAACCGTTCAATATAATTTCCAGCATCTGCAGATTTCCAGTATCTGCAGTATTTTGTGTTTCACTCAATACAATTATTGTCTTGCGATTCATCACCAAACATTTGTGGTTCTTTAACATACAGGTTTTAGTTTTCTAACTGAGCTCCAAACCCATCACATCCAGGGTAGTTTGTGTTTGAACGTCAGACATGGTTAGTATTAAATCCTAAGGCCATTCAAAACCCAAAAGAATAATAAATTGGTCATTTTCAATCTACGACTATTTGTAGGTCATTGCTGTGCGCAATTGGCTGCTGCGTTCGCCCACAAAAAATACAGTCAATTCACTTTACAATGTGTTCTGTGAAGCGCTTTGGGACGTCCTCCCGACGTGAAAAGCGCTATATCAAATGCAAGGATTATTATTATTATTAATGGGAATTCAAAACACCGTCACTTGAGTTACTTAGTGTGTAATAATTCAGGTTCTGATTCCAAAGGTGCCTCAGAGTCACTAATAATTAACTTCAAAGACATTACAGTTGTCTCTGGGCAGACTATGGGAGATCTGCCAGTCCTGGGAAATTCACCATTTGAAAAAGAAAGTTCTGAAAACAAGCCTAGTTTACACCTTTGGGGAATGATCACCACCAAGATGCCAATGTGAAAGTTAACAACACAAGATTTCCATCAAACAACTGATAGATCGATACCTAGCAAACCTCCAATGAATTGAGTTCCCATGAAAACAGGCCCAGCGTGAGATTCAATCTATAATCACTCAGGGAGACAGTTATTTGTGTGTGTGTGTGCCTTTTTTTTTCTCCTGCCCCTTTCCCACCTACGTCATGAAATCTGCAGCTACATTGTGGCAAAATAAGTTAATCCTTCTGGAGGCTTGCTTATGTTTAGGTTTCTGAGGTGTTAGCAAGTTTTTATTTTTAATTGTTGATTCGAAAAGAGCACAAAGAGTATTTTCCACAAACAACCATTCTTTCGCACAATGAAAACAAAGTATAAGTGTACAGAGCTTACTTCAATTTCATAATTTTAGAGAAAAATGGAACATTCTAATCTTGTATATTGAAAGCTTGTCATGGGCAACTGAGTTTCTGTAATAATACAATTACAGCGAGATAATTCATGAGACTGTCACTTTCTGATACCCTACAAGTATGTGATAATGTACCAGTGAAAATATTATTGATATGTGATGTGGTATTTTCCACAAACAAATATGAACATATTGAAAAAATAATGCAATACAGGGAGTGCTTTTGAGGCACTCTCCACAGTGAAAGAGTTCAGATGTTTCATAAAGTAGCTCAACAGCATATAATCATTATCCAGGAATGAAATTGCTGCCTGAAAACATTCTTTATATCCAATATACTTTATGCAGTGGAGCTGTGGCTGAGACAGATAATTTTGTTTTTCTTCTCTTTTGTTTGCTGGTGGCAGAAGTCATGGTCCACATTAACTGTAGGGATGTTCCTTTCAGCTGATGTGCAATGACACCAATGTTGAAGGTTTAGTGATTGGGCTGTAATCACTACAGTTTTATCACATAATAAATTGTGGTAAGTTACAAGTTACAAGTCAATACATATGTGAGTCAGAGATGTTACTTCAGTTTCCTGTGTATTAGTCCAGTATCAAAGTTCTAAATGAGCATATAAAATGAGTTTACAAATGCCTCCACTTGCTGGTTTATTATATTATTGGCTCTGTTCACCAAGAATGAGGTTCAGAGTGCCCCAAAGGTATTCAATATAAAATACTTCAGGTCAATGTTATAAAGTAGATTTTAATCCCATCAATCAGGAGTAGATTCTGGTCTGAAAGACAACACAAACACAGTTTACTTAGTCAATGCTTTAGCAGTCCCTACATAAGGTTTTTACTTTCTCCTTTTTCCGATAGTTTTCCTCACATTTGTATCATTTCTAACGTAGCAGTCGGGGTGGGAATGTCTAAGTCAGGAATGTCTTAAAAGGACTTATTGATGCTGTTGCTCTGTGGTGATTAATCATCAGCAGGGCAGGATGCAATGGTCTGAGAGGATTTACATCCTGACCAGGCAGAGTCTGACAAAATTCCCCATTTGTGGTGAAGTCAGCTTGTGACTGGTCGCGAGTGGGATTTGAACTCAGGTTATAAATGTACATCTCAAAGATCTTCAAGGTCAATAGTCCATGGCATAATTTCAAAATCACTGAAAACTCACTGCTTTTAAGAATGTGATCAATTATGTGTTAGTCTGTTATCATTTGTGAATAATTGGCTGGTTCCTTGCTTTCGAACATGCACTTATTTCTGGAACATTTCAAGTGTCAGTACTTCGGAATAATTTGAACACTTTTTACTGTTTTATTCACTTACCAAAAAAGGATGAATTTAGTATATATAGATATAAACATATTTTAATTATAAAAGCAGCATTCCTTATCTATCTATATTAATAAAGATTAAATGTCTGTCTATCTGCCAAGAACGCAACAACTGATTGAGGTAGAGACATGAATTATAGCTCATCGGAAAGGTCTTGCATGGAGGAGCGTCATGGGCATATTTTTTGAGGGATCTCCTATCGTTGATGAGTTATATTAAAAAATTTATTAAAAAATGCTTAATTAAGCCCCCAAAATGCATGCATGGTATTCTGCAACAAAGTAGCGAGGTCACACACCCTTCTAGATCTCGGAAAGATTTTGCATGGGGACGTGTCATGGGCATATTTTTTTCAGATATCTTCTATCGTGACCTAAACAAGCACATCACACATATATGGACTCTAACAAGGAGTCCTCCCAACAAGGAGTCTTCCCACAGGAGTCCTTCCAATGAGGCTTCCCACTGAGTCCCTCCAACAGGAGTCCTCTCACAGGAGTTCTCCTAAAAGGAGTCCTCCCAAAAGGAGTCCTCCCAGCTGAGTATAGGTAAAGACAAAATGTCTGTCTGTCAATCTACGTTCCATATCAGATCCTTTGGTTGCAAACGAAGCTGCAACGGGTACTGCTAGTAATATATATCTAAGGAAAATGATGGAACCCAATCAAATTTCTTCTTAGAAGCCAAGTGTCAGATTGTATTGTATTGCTTCTGAGATCAGCTGAATCATTTATATGGGCTGCAAAGCTATAATATTTTATGATATAAAATACTCTAACTGTCTACCTATCATTTTATAAGAAATCCTTACCTGCACTGGAGTTATGTGGATGGAGGAGGAGAAAAATTGTGTACAGTTTACATGCGTAGACATTTCTACTCAATGTTATTCAGCTATGACATACAGTGCTGACACTTTTGCATAAATTATGCTACCTCTATTACATATTTTTGTTCTTGATCACATCTCCCATGTGTACACAATTTCATCTGATGTTTTTGTAAAAAAAATTAATTTGTGTAAATCAGTGAAAGCATAAACCTGACTTTCAACAAGCCTAAAATAAATGGCGTCTCAGAGCATTTAAAGAAGTGCTTAGAGCAGCTAAGAAATGGGATGAATGGAGAGACAAGAGAATCAGTGAAGGTTGCCAAGGATGAGTGTGATGGAACTACTAAATGCAAAATACAAAATTACATTTGTATAGCGCCTTTCACATCGGGAGGATACAGGACAAGGGCGGGTAATTGGACTTGAAGTACAGATCAGTCATGATATTATAGAATGACGGAACAGGCTCGAGGGGCTGAATGGCCTACTCCTGTTTCTATGTTTCTAGTATGAGCTAAGAATTGAACTGTAGATGAGTTGCAGTTTTTGTAGGGTATAGTCAGTAGGGAGCATATTTGAGAAATTCAACCTGAAGGTATTGAAAATTCTAAAAGGTTTTCATAGGATAAATTGTGAAGAATTATTCCCATTGTCAACCTAATCTAGGTTGATAATATCAAGATTATCACTGAGTTAAGAGAGAAGTTAAAGAGAACATTTTTCACATGGAAAGCTTTGCCACAGTAGCTTTCGAAGCCAAGCGTAACAACATTTAAAAGAGAATTAGATAAACAGAATGATATGAAAGCCTGTGGGAGAAAGCAGGGAATTGGAATTAGAGGTCAGGCTTCACTGGAGAAACTGGTACATGCCTCATCTCAATGGGTCAAATGACTGCCTTTTGTGCTGCAATTTCTACGATTTATGAACTGTCCAACACTCAGGCATTCTGTCATGATGCTCCATTAGCAACGCAGATTACCTCTTGTCACTGGCATCATTTCAAGTGAGAAAAAGTTATCTGTAGGTCAGTCCAGTGAAGCAATTCTAAATTATAAAATTGAAAACTGGAAGACAAATCTTGTTGACAAAGTGAAATTGTACCCGGGTCAACTGTAAAATTGACTGTGCGCACTATTTTATGTTTTGCTGACTCACGCAGGTTCTGGGCTTCTAGAGGTTGTGCAAGTTCCAGTCAGAGAGTGCCTGCATTGCGCTGTTTATCTCTTTTTACTGTGACACAGGCACAGATTCACTGCATGTTGACTCAAAGCCAATAATTGTTTTTTATTTTAAAACATACTGCTGCACAAAACAGGAGGCAGCTAAGGAGTTCTCTTTAGATTAGGTGAACCTGGGATCTGAGTAGAATTGTCTCCCTTTGTAGGTAATGAATGTTATGCTGATCAACTCCTTTGAAAAGTTTCTGGTTAGAAAGAGGATAGAGGGGCAACACTGTGAGTCAACACCAGAAGTGGAGTCAAAATCAAGTTTGAGTTCTACTCTTCTCAGTTCTCAATCTCAATAACAAGGTGTCATCTCCTGATAGGAAGAAAAGAACATTAGATGGGAAACTCATAACCAGGCTTCTGGCAGCTTCAGACAACGCTGTTCACATTTTCATGCACTTTCATTATTCTATTAATGGGGGGAAAGAGTTTTACTATGATCCCTTCCCTGTAAAGAAAATCATAAGTTAAACAAAGTGCATTTAGCAACATAGAATGCAGCTTTGGGAAACAGAAATGTTTCGCAAAGCCAAATATTCATCCCACTTCTTAAACAGGCACACACAAAAAATATACATTGCTTTTTATTTTCCCCTGTTTTTTATTCCTTATTCTCCCTTCAAAAATAAATAAAATATTAATAATTTTGTCACTCAAACCATGACTGTTGTGGGATCCACAAAATGTACGTCAATTCACTTTACAGTATATTCTGTGAAGTACATTAAGACATCTCAAGGCACTATATCAAATGCAAGAATTATTATTATTAAAGCTCAAAATCAAATCAATTATTGCCGTTCTGTTTTTCTGATGCAAATATTTCCAAATCTATAGATAAGAGATAATGAAATATTTTAAGCTCTTCATACAATGCCACCATCAAGCATTCAGATATCAGTTACTACATGGGTTTGATAGAAACAATGTGCATTAACTCCAGCCTTAGTAAAGGACCTCTACTGAATTCCATTTCTTTTATGGGCCATCCTTTTGACCTCTGACAATTAGTGTTGACTTATGTGCAGTTCTGCACTCTAGATGTGCACCAAATGTAAACTATGTTGAGTCCCTAACAGCTAACAGATCAGCCTCTTAGCCCATCAGCTGGCGCTCAGCCGGATCCCAGAGGTGAGTGGATCATACTCTAATCCATTGTTTGACACAACTTTAGCTTGCTTAATGATAATACTCTAACCTTAAAATGATTGATAGGAGTTGGCTTCCTGAATGTGAGCAAAGTAATTTGTAAACACATGAAAAGAAGCCAAACCTGCATCATTATTGAGAGGTGAGAGGAATATGAGTGATCAGGTTAGTGACTGGCTCATAATTAATGGAACACAAAGTGTGCCTCTTCTCTTTTCCCGTTTTTTTTCCTGTCAGTTCCGATGTTATTGAAATCCCACCTTTCCCTCCTCTTTTTTTACTTCCTGTACAGATTTCACTAGTCTACTCATTTCCTGCAGCCAAAAGTGGCCTGCTCCCAGGGTCTACCATTTCAGCTGCTCCTAGCCTTGACAATGCATGTGCCAGCAATGAACTGGATACCCTCCCTCTGATGTTTTTACTGTCTACGTTCCACATAAGGCTTGACTCTTCAATAACTCTAACAAAATCACTATTTTAAGTGTATTTTTCACAAAGTCATCACATTGACATTTATTTGTAGTTTAAAAGTGGTTACTGTCTATCTAAAAAGAGAGCCTGCATTAGGACAGGTTTTGGGCCCAGCATATAATAATACTAATCATAATAACTCTTGCATTTGATATAGCATCTTATCACGTCTTTGAGATGTCTCAGAATATACTGTAAAGTGAATTGACTGTCTATGTGGGTGAAATATATATTTTTATAAAACCATAAAAATGTTAGGATTTCAATAGCACAGACAACTTACTAAACATTCAGCAAAAATGCAACTGTGAACAGTATGATTTCAATGCATTTTTGTATTTACTTGATTTACTAAAACAAATTTGTGTTGCACGAAGAGATGGTTTTAAAAAACAATTTCAATTTTATTTTCCTAGATTTGCTTGGAAAACTGCTGAGTGGAATGAATGTCAGGTGACTCCTCTGCTCAGTCAGCAGAACTTTCAGAGGAGGAATCAGTCAGCCTTGTGTGGAGGTGGCATACAAACAAGAGAGGTTTACTGTGTGCAGCAAATGAAGGAGAATAACAAACAGAAGCTGAAAGAAGGTACTGTAGCTCTGGATGTACTTTTCATCTTCCCTTTACTGCCTGCATAAATACATTTCATGTATAATTTATACACTTGAACTTGTAAAAGCCGAGTGCTAAGATGCCTGTTGATTCCTTTATGTATTTAGGGTTTCTGCCACACTGCCCCTGCACTCTAGAAATCCCAGAATCCCTCCGAATTAATCCTCGCCCTACCCACTTCCAAAGCCTGCATCTTTCTCTAGGCATTCGGTTAGCCTCTCCTCCCCCACCCTTTTCAGCTCCCAAAGTTGACACCCTTCCTCCGCAGCTCAGGTGCCCAGCCAGCTGTATCAAGCACTTTGAGATGTCCTCCAGTCAATTTCTATATAACTTGTATCTTGTCATATCAGCAAAGTTGAGATCTTTCAAAGCTTAATCATATGTGTACATGACAGAGCAGCTCTAGAACAGAATGATTCAATTTGTTCCAGTACATTTCATTTTGAGAACCCAGAAGAACAAACAGATAAAAATGCAACAAAAAATTAGCAGTTCAAATTCAACTGTGACTTATTTCATAAGGGCTGGTGTAATTGCGGCTGAAGAGGCCCATTAATCCAAGCATTCTATGCATGCATAAGCTAAGACCTTTTGGGAGCAACTGATGAATAATATAATAATCCTTGCATTTGATAAAGTGCTTTTCATGTCTTCGAGTCATCTCAAAGTGCTTCACAGAATATACTGTAAAGTGAATTGACTGTATACTTGTGGTAGACAGCAATGGAACGTCGCATCCTCTCTATTTGCCGAAAGCTTATTCCATGCCTGCTTGATCTACTGTTCACTAAACTCCAAGGGCCCTGATCCTTGACAATCCATCTTCACACATTTGCAAACCTTACTTTGACTGACTGACTGACTGACTAAGATTTGCTTCTGCTCCTGATTGGACCGCCATCTTGGAGCTGCGTAACAACGTAAAGACCTCAATATAGGTTTTTGAGTGCGCATATCTGCAAGTACAATATGAGTTGTACTGCATTATGAAACAGACTTATATGGACATTCAAAAACTCACTAAAAAATAAAAATATAATTGTATGATCAAAATAAAAAAATCATCATCCCTTAATGGAAGGAAGGATTTCAAGAATCAGGGGTATCCTTTCTTTTCAAATTGGTCAGCCAAGTATCTCTAACATGAGCAGAACACCCTGCTTAGCAAATCTCTGTTGAGTTTAGGCTCATTTGGCAAGAGCCAATGCTTGAGGACTCCAAAGAATCCTTTGGTTACTGTTGGAGTTGTCAAGCTGCGATCACCCAATATGTCAGGGTGTTTGTGCAGTGCTAATGAGAGTTGAGTGGGAAGAATCCCATTCTCCGGCTGTGGTAATCTTTAGATGCCCATATAAAAATATACTTTCTTGACTATAGCATTATGGAAAGCAATTTCTATTGATTGATTTTATAAAGTATAAATTGAGAAAGCTGCAAAATGAAAGCATGTTTGCTTTCTGTGCATTCTAGAGAATGAACAAAAATATTGTAATTTCATTTACTTGCGACTTTGGTTCTGAAATGATGAAGCAGATCTATACTTCTGTGTTGGCCCCAATATGTGAACTATTAGTACTGTCCAACTATTTGTATCTAAGCTGTCACATTGATGTGTACCATAAAATACACAGACTCAGCAATAATTCTCACTTTTGTACTTGGAAGTGAGTGCATCATAGTCATCTCCATATCCATCTTCATCCATTGACTAATCTGTCACTTGCATGCCCAACTATTTCTGCCTAGTATATAATTTATCCGCTTCAATGCTGGGCTGTCCATCATCGTTGTTCACTCTGGATTGTAACTATGGTGTATTCAAGTGGAAATAATAATCTTTATTGTACTTTTACCTTCTAGAAGATGATGCTGTCACGGAAATTATTTTGCTTTTTGCTTTGAAAAACATCTTTGACAGATATTAAGTGTCTGGTCTTTCTGATGGCCTAGTTGGTAAATGTACGAAGCCATAGAAACAGGAAGGTCACAAGTTTGATTCCTGGACAGTGTTGAGTTACCTGATAATAATAATAATAATCCTTCCATTTAATATAGCGCTTTTTCACGTCTTCTAGATATCTCAAAATACTTCACAGAATATACTGTAAAGTGAATTGACTATATTTGTGGGCAAAACGCGGCAGCAAATTCAAAAATGTCATGTCCTTTGACAATTTAGAGCCCAGAAGAGTTTTGGGGGGATTGGGGATTGTCTGCGGGGACAACTCTCATTACCTAAGTATGGCAATCGAGTGACATAGGATATCTGTATAGCAGTGTACTGTGTAACAGAGTAAGTAAAGAATGCTGTTTTGCAGTCAGTTCTTGATCTTAACTTAGCTGGCACAGCGAGGTGGCAAGTGGCTGGAGTGCAGCTCAATCGAGTGTGCTGAAATGCTGGAAGAATAGTTTGTGACACAAGGGTCCTGAAGGGAATGGAGTTTAATAAAACAATCTCAACTAATAACCTGTTGGAAGCCTTCACAGATGGGCAATGCTTTTAGCACCACTGGAGATCTATTGGGTGTTTCAGGCTGATTCAAAAAAGGATTATTTAGTCACAACTACCTAGACAGCAGTATGGAGCTAACTTCTTCTGTACTGCAGGAGCTCGTCAGAATTACCGATGCTTTTCCTTCTCTGTGTGGGTGACTGATTGCAGAAAGTTCCATAGTATTTACAGTACTGTACTGCTAACCATTCTGCCCCCACTCTCTGGAACTCTGGAATCTCTTTGATGCCCTCTCACCCCTCAACTCCTTCAGTGTCTGTCTCAAGACATACCTTTGATTGCACTTTCTTTAATTCATCACCCCCCCAACACACACACACTCTGGCTCTGACTAGCAGCTCAGAAGCCCAGACAATGGTGTTAAGCACTTTGAGATGTCCTCCCAATACAAAAGGTGCTATATAAATGTATATCGTATTGTAATCTCTCATAATTAATGATATAATGCAGGGTGGCCCGCCTGTTGATTTCACCCCCACTCCGTCCATTTCAACTGGCCTACCCGCTCCCTCCATAACCTGTAAATGTTACGTTATGTTTCTGGCAGGGAAACATAAAAATATTGCTTAAGTGGCCCGCGGATGGGTCTCAAATAGGGTATCCGACCTTCAGCCGCCAAAAGTTTGGACCACCCTGATATAACGTAATGAGTCTTTGGACCCAACTAATAAACTGCTGCCTCACAATGGTGTATAACAATTTGCTGTATGTTTAAGAAGGCACCAATGGTTTTTAAAAGAAGGTGACTGGAAAAAAACTCATGCCCAGTATAGATTTTATTAATTCAGAAGAAGAAAGGGAGAATGAAAGAAATAATTCATAAGTTAGAAAAGCAGAGGTAGCAAAAAAAGAAACATAAGATAAGTAAAGTGAAAACTGAGCAGGTCAGGGAGAAGGAAATAAGAGCAGTAAACGAGAAAGCAAAAAGAGTAGAGCAGCTGAGACAGACGGAGAGAAGCAATGAATTTTACAAATGTTTATTTAAACTTTCATCAATATTCTACATATTTATGCCTAGTAACGAACCGAAAACAGTGCAAAACGGTTTACTTGTTCAAGGAGGAATCATCATGGTTATACAGGAAAATTTCTATATAAGCTACAGTAATAAAATAGAAATCTTATTCAGGTTTTTTCATCTATAATATGATTTACGAATATTCTTTAGTCTTCAGATATTGTTTCCTGAAAGCACCAATGAGTTCCCTGAACATCAGCAGCCCTTTTTACTGCCTTATTCAAGAGACCATGTGCCACTGTGGATTTGGTAGGCTGTTCCACTGCAGTGATATCACAGCTGAGCCCAGTTCTGTCCTCAGTCAATGCCAATAGACATGTACTTCTCGACAAAGGTCACTGGATAGTTATCAGGAATGTAATTCAATTTCCCCATCCTTAATACAAGAGCACTGAGGCCCATTCCAACCCATTCACTGCTACCCTCGTTGAGATCAAAACAAATGAGGGACTAGATCTGAACACTTTCTGGTCTTTATGGTTCACAAGCACACCATGTAATGCATCAATGTACACATTGAGCCATTGCTGGAGCCTGCTTAAAACTATTTTGTGGGCTTCACAGTGTTCTGCAATCTATTCATAGATTGTTTTACAGCATACATCCCACAAAATATATAGTCAATTCACTTTACAGTATATTCTGTGAAACGCTTTGAGACATCTCGAAGATGTGATGTGGCACTATATCAAATGCAAGGATTATTATTATTATTACATCCACATATAATCACTCTCTGAGGAGACTGAGGAGAGGTGTGTGCATATGGAGCTATTCAACAACAACAACATTACATTTGTATAGCGCCCCTCACATTGGGAGGATGTCCTATGTGCAGATCTCCACTAAAGTGCATGGAGGTGACCTTTTACGAAAATTATTTTCAAGGAGAGAATGAATTGATTTGCTCCGCTGGATTCATACCTGTGTGGCATGGATTAATGTCCTGCTCAGACCACTTCCTTGAGGTGGTTTCGGCAGCCGGGCTACCCGCTTGGAATCATGTTTGATTTTTTACTGCATTTCAAGCAGATTACCCTGCAAATAATGTGTAGAATAAATTAAACAGTATTTATATACTGGCATAATCAATGTTTTGTATGTTGAATAGAATCTATTACAGTTTTTCTGATGAGAAAGATGTTTCCAATCTGTTTCTTTAATTTTTTTTGTGCTCAGGCACTTTTAATCCTTCCTTTACATTTAATGGTTTTGTTCTTCACTTCCCTGAGTGGTAAGTAAGCATAAGGTTAACTTACTCCATAACTTGGAGAATTAGATTAGTTTTTCAATATTGGTAAAAGATCTTTAGATCAGCATTAATTATCATTACTCAGAAATGAGGGTATTAAAGAGCATTTTTCAATAGGCTAAATTCTGTCATACCTATTTGCTATACAAGGAGAATGCACTGAACTGAACTGCTGCACCCAGCTTCATGCTCAA